GCTAGGCTTAAACTACTACGTATAATTACCACTACCATTATTACTACATTATAATCTTAAACTGTCTTACCGTATCTGTTGGGCTCCCTATTGTATTCCAAGATGGGCACTTCGTTATCCCTATGATTTGCATTGTTGTCATCTCCGCCTACAGGTAAAGTGCCAGCCTCAACAAAGTCGGCAGTGTTCCCAAAAGGGATAACAACAAACCTGTCGGTTAACATTAGTCACCTAAACCTTTTTTACTGCCAACGTTTGCCAAAGCAAAACTTTCTGGAGAAGTACACGGCGACAAGCCGTAGAACACACTTCAGTAGTCACAGAGCAACAATGTCAGTAGCTTTAAGCTACATTTAGCGACACTAGCTTGGCAGCACCTTTCAAAATAAAAGCTCCCTAAAACCTGCCTCAGAAATAAAATCCTGGACAACATAAAGTCACATTTATAGCACAACAACAATTTGTACATCCTCTACACTAGGTGCAATGTGATAAAGAGACCCACAGGTAATAGAAAATTACCGTTCTCCATACATTTTTTGCTTTCTTGCAATCTTTTTGGTGTTTGTATATCACTTCGTCTTTGCAAATTGACACAATACTGTGCACCGCTAGACAGGAAAAAGTGTAATTCCTGACAAAACAAAAATTCGTGCCTCTCCAAACGTAACTCTTAGATCTATTCTACAGACCCTCAGCTAATATACATAAGCATAGTTTTCTGAGGTAAGCATCTTTGCAAATGTTGCTGGGGTTTATAAGACCACTTACTGTTCCCAGACTGGGACCGTGCAGTGATGGACAGGGAGTGGTCTCACTCCCCTCCAAACAAAAATTTATGCCTCTCCAAAAAGTGACTCAGATCTATTCTACAGACGCCCAGCTAATAGTATATAACTATGGTTTTGCCAGATAAGCGTCCTTGCCAATGTTCCTGTGGTTTATAGGGGCCTTTTAGTGAGCGATAATAGATTGTTCTCGAAGGGCATGTTTTCACAATGTGGGAATTTGTTAACACTTCACTGGTGGATCAATTCTTACTGGTTTGCAATAAAGTGTCAATTTCACACTTTTTGCCTTGTTGTCTATGGGATAATTGTTTTTGGTGTAAATGTAAGACATATCATTATATTACATAACTTTGGTATTCTGCTTTATAACATTTATTACAGTGTATTAAAACAGCCAAAGTATTGAAAAGACCTTCGATGGCGATGTGTGGATTAAGTGGGTTAAGTCTCTCAGAGCGAAGAACAGTGTCCAAACCTCTAGTCTCCTCTTTCATCTACTTAACTGGTTCCCCGGGGCGTCAATCAACTCCAGGTACCGTTATCCATTTTGCATAATAAACAGATTATAAAAACAGGAGGGCAGTTCTTACTGGACCTCGCTGGGGCTGATCTGCTGGAGTGTGGTGTGTTTGAACAGCTTGGTAAACTTACCGACGTCCCAAAAGAAAATAGCACTTAACAACAAGGAGAATAATAAAATGTCCAGTGTAACTAAAAGGCAGTCTTCTTTCTATGAAGGGATGTTTGGTGGAGAGAGACCTACCGTCTCATACTTCTTACTCAAGCCGCCAATATTCCAGTCCGATTCGATCCAGGGAGTCCTACAGCATGTCTTCTGCACCGGCCATATATGCGACCAAAACCACTAGGCTCCGGAGCAGCGCTCCGATGCCCAGACTCTCGAAGGACACGCCATTGTGTGTCTCTGTGTTGGCCCACCAGGTAGATACATCTGTTCTAATCAAACTATCTGTAATATTTGTGTGCTTCAGCAGTGAAACTGTATATTGATTGGTGGAGGGCAGAGCGGGATTAAAGGCTCCTCAGGGTAACAGGCTATGGTGAATGTAAGAGTTAATGGGTTCAGAGTTACGAGTTAAAATAAAGAGTTTGTTCAAATGGCACATCGTCATCCTGGATTATTATTTTCTACACTATTTGTGTACAAGAAACAAGACACTATCCTATTCTTCTCCCCACATGTCCCAATGGCTGCCGGGCTGGGTGCTGCATCACTGCCATGGATCCAAGAGGGACATCGTGGATATAGCTATCGTTTGGGAGGATTTTGCTGGTCTACAGAGATCTGCATGGAGTACCGACATACAGAATATATGATGGAATGATTATTACCCTCATTAATTAATTTTTTTTATTGTATAATGTTAACATGCCCAAAGTTGACCTTGGACCCCTAGATTTTTTTTCTCCTTACTAAGAAGGTTTTGGTTCCTCTCCTCCGTTGTCTTCTGGTCTTTTCTGTTTTGTATTCACAACATGTATGGTCACTTGCATTGTTAAGCGCCTTGGGGCAAGCTTGTTGTGAAAGGCAATATATAAAAATAAATT